AACTCACTATTTTATAGTAACATATTTTATGGTGGATATATTATGCACACAAGAGACCATCTGCATGCTCTCACGGACACGTTGACCATACCCTCAGCTAAAATGTGTACATGTATATATGTTACTCACTCTTTTATAGTAACCTATTTTATGTTGGATATTTCATGCATACTGTTTTCGATAGGGTCTTCAAAGGGATTGCCTACTACCGTAAATATACTGAACTATACTGAACTAACTAGCTTATACAAGTTGGGATACGTTCTCTCGTCTATTATCTGCTCGGACCACATCGTATCCTACCTTGCTGACCCCGACGTTCAATTAACTCCACATTCCACAGGAGCGAGAGTACTGCTTCTATTTTAGCAGAGGCGATGAAGTTATAATAAATAAATATAAATAAATCATTTGTATATTTAAGGCCCAAGGGGCCCTGTCGTTACAAGTTGTGCCCATATAAATAGAAAGCAAAAGTCAAGGTGTTGAAGAAGGCAACACGATGCCTTTGCAGCCAAAGGTATATTTGCCAGCCGCACTTGTGAATCTCAACATCTCAACTGTGTTGCACGATACACGAGTGGATGGAGACCTCGACCAGGTGTCGTGTTTAACAGCATCCCTGCTACAGCAGTTACCACTTCCTGTAAAGGAGATTACTACGACATTGTACAGAGTGAAAAGGGAGAATAGATGCTAACAAAAGCGAACGGGCGAGTTCCAGGAAACACTTGAGGAGAAAAAAATGAGATCATTGGCAAAAGAATTTAATTGACCGAGCGTCTGTGACTTACACGAATGCCTCGGTTGCCGAGCTCCGAGTGAATATACGCGGTAAAATTTAAAGAGCGCCACGCATGCAGTTGTCGCGGATTTGGCATACCTGATCCAATCTTCTATGGCGGCGAAGGCCGAAAACCTAATAACTATCTCTACGTTTAGCGCAAATTGTACCAAACCAGGTCCTGAGCTGACCATCGCAAGGCCTCGAATCACGCGGTTGTGCTGGATTCAAGACAACAGCAGAAGACTGGTCGAGAAATATAGGCAGATTTCGGTAGTGATAGAGGTATCATGGGAGATTATATCGCCACTTATTTTTGAAGGATCTCAATTCGGATTCGAGATACTTAAAATGTCAAGCTCACAATCGATGCTCACCGGAGGCGCCCTATTCTACTCATAGAACCAGTTTAAGAGGCCTCTATTTTCGCTGCGCTAGTAAACCCTGTTCCCATGAGACCATGTTTATAGACCATCAAGGCTCGATACCATCTTTTATGCAATTTACATACTAAAGGAGTATATGTATAATATTTACAAAGTGAGTGCTTTTTATGCAAACTTGTGCCGGTTAAACTAAATTTTCAAGGGCTTCTCTCGTAAACATAGGGACTAAAAACGGGCTGATCTCGTCGACCTAGTCGCTAGTAGGCCTTAGGACTATCTTCGCAGACCTTCCGCCGCAACGCCCGCTACATGAACTCGTAGTGAAGTCAAGAGCATGGACTGACATCGTTTGCAAGTATCTATGGTGAAGTTTCAGAACGCCCCACAGGCGGTATATTTGTTAAGTGCAGCAACGTCCAGCTTAGAACTAGGGTTTATTTATCTTCGTCCACGTACCACGTACACATTAAACAGCCTGACCATAATCATAACTCGAACCCATGCAGCAAAGTTGCTAAACATAATCGCAATGGTTCTCGAAATTCCTCTTACTACGGTACATAGAGACAGCTAAAGGGACTGGCACCCGTCGCCAGGAACAATCTAATCTTTTGTGCTTGCTTATTAAACTAATTGAATCAGGGCTCCCTTATCAACGCGAAATTTGTCTATTTTAGCGTCGATGCTGCCCCCTCCAGGTGCCGTGTTAAACAGCATCCTTGCTACAGCAGTTATCACTTCCTGTAAAGGAGATTACTACGACATTGTACAGAGTGAAAAGGGAGAACAAATGCTGACAAAAGCGAACGGGTGAGTTCCAGGAAACACTTGAGGAGAAAAAGATGAGATCATTGGCAAAAGAATTTAATTGACCGAGCGTTTCGAATCCTAGCTTGAACCCATCATCAGAGACAACCGTAGAAAAGGGTGGTAAAGACACAGGTTGCGCAGTATCTCTAGTCCGTAACGGTTATATGAGCACATACGTAATAAAATTAGCAGCAATCGTTATCAATGGCGCGTACTTAATCACCGATTTCATCACCGCGTCAACCTCCAACACGGATGATGAAGCCGCAGCCACTAACGACTCGAACGTGGACTGCCAAGCCATTATCAGTCACGACTACAAACTATGATCACGAGAGTTGCTACCTGTAACATGCACGTGGTCGCACGACCCTTACGGGCTACAGATTTTGCGCAACCTTTGCTTTTATCATCCTTTTCTCCGGTTGTTTCTGGTGATGAATTCAAGTCAGAATCTGAAGCTTTAAGGCAATGAAATTCTTGTTCCAGCGATCGCACTTTCTCCCTTTGAAGCATAAAAGGTGTTACTTGATCATGGAGGTACTCGGTGCCCTTAAGCCAACGCCCACTTTGACTAAGTTGTCCGCAATGAAGTTGCTGCCCCACGGCAAGGTGATGCAGGGATTGTAACTTGCGCGTTAATTATACTACACAGGGTAGAAGATGTATGTTGCACATGCCACACTCTCCCTTCCCGTTATCAGGACCACGTCCGAAAGGTAAGAGGCGAGATACGACGCAGGTGGCTAGCGCGACCGGATTCGCCCCTAGCGTGCTATCACACCTGGCTCGGATCCCACAGACAGGGAGTGTCACATTAAGGAGCAACTGCAGTCTGAAAAGGTCCTGTCCTATGCACGATATCAACGTCGAGTCTACAAGCACTGTGTTGACTGTAATATTGCTGCGATTACCAGGATCACAGCCGGTTATTCCGGTCGGTAGTCAGATCGGCAAAGTTGAGAAAGCTGGAATGACAAATTAAAAGTGGCCAGCGAACGATTTTGATTGCGGCGTGAGATTTTCCGGAGGTAAAATCCAATTCTTCCCTCTACAATGGATTTCGAACCGTCAAGGGCGGATATAAACTGGCCTACAATTGTAAATCAGACCATTATCCTCGTTCCTCTAATGCACCACAAATGCTGACTACTCACATACACAAACCAGAATCCACAGAGGTAACAGTAATGTCCTCTCTAGGGGCAGAATTACTGCAATAAGTACGCTATTTCGAAGACGTCGGATGCAATCTCCCGATGGTATCAGTTTCCTGATCACTCAGAGCCCTGACACGGCACAGACCAGATGTTATTGGCACTACTGTATTATAGATGGACTCATCTGATGGTGCAAATTCGTGGAAATTAACTTCCAGCCGAGTAATACGGAAACAGCATATACTCACTTGTAGCGTGTGCGCAGAGTTAACAAAGATCTCAAAGTTTCTCTCAAGTTCCAGCATTTATAAAACAGGAAGGAGATCGAGAACACTAGTTAGAAGCGCCAGATGACCTCTTGATAATGAATGGACAGCATGTGACGAATGAATACATAAAAATACAAAAGGTCGCGGTCGCTTCTTTTAAATAACGCAGAAGATAACAGATACCGATTTCACGTTCTGGCGGCGCGGTCAGTCGGTCTCGGGGGCTACTTTTAAATCCTTGACTTGTAATAAAAGAGTTTATTCTCCATACCCTAACCCTTCAGAGTCACAGACGCACTTATTCGATCCTATTAATGCAAACAGTTACCAAAATTATGCCAGTAGAATCATTAAGACAGTCACTTAATGCTGATCTACTATTATTTGGCCAATAAGTAAAGTATCTGCACGTCTAGGTCGGTTGATGCGTGTTACAGGAAAGTCGTCAGTCCAGCACAACAGTCCATGTAGTTTTGAAGCTAGCTAATTTTGAGTATGTCTATAACCTCGTTGTGATATGTCGTCGGAAAGATCTAGGTTCGCCAGGAAGCCGTTCTAGCGGTTTATCGCGACGTTTTTGCATTACAGACTACGGACATCGAAGACGGGAGAAACAAAAGGTTTTTGACTATCGTTTCCCGAAAACATCTGTCGGGTAACATATGTAGACTTTATCCCTAATACAGCCGACCGCGTGCGCCGAAATAACATCGCGAAAATACCCCTGGTTACCTGCGAAAGATAATTAAGGTAAGTTCAGCGTGTACACAGTCCACGGATCATGCACCGTTGTTTTGTATCCGACGTCTCTGTCTAACTGAGGGCGGCGTAGAGTTGAGTTACAACTTGCTTCGGCACTGCAACACATGGGAATTGCTTATGGACTTTGGATACTCAGCCACTGTTGTTTCGGACGAGTTTTCCATATCCTCTAATATTGGTAATCGAGCGTGAAGGGGCACTATTTGCAATATGACATGGACTACCTAGATTAGACGTAGTAACAACTGTACGAAGCATAAGAGACTGGCTAAGTTTAAACAAAAAATTATCTTGAAATATGGAACGGATTGGATCACCTTCAGTGAATCAATTGGTATTTCAGTATAGTTGACCGAGCGGCAGACTTTAAGTAGTGGACTCGGTGAAATCAAATGTGATGACCATCGCAATTGCAATACTTGCTCAAATCTTCCAATCAGTGATGCATACAGGCAGGAATATCATAATATCAGCAAGTAACTGTGCGAAAACGTAGGGACTTAAGGAAAAATATGAGTCGAGACCTAGTTCGAAGATGGAGCAGCAAAGAGCCACTCACCAATCAGTTGGATTTGAAAAACTACTGAGAAGGATCCCGTCACGCCACATTTCGATTTCACGATGCTGAAGAAGGAGGTGTGAGGTGGTGATGTTTCGCACAGTTTCCTTTTTAGATTTTGAACGTTTCCTGTCCAAGGTAAGCAGCGGAAAGGCATCGTTCTTTTTTCCTACTTGCTGGAAATCCGGCCCATTCTCAAAAATGAAGTCTGCGAACGTTTGCAATTCGAACTGACAAATGGAAATGAGAACCTATTAACCAGATCTGCCAAGCTGACACGGAGGAAAACTAAGATATATGTAGCGTTAAGCAGTCGAGCTATTACAGCATAGTAGTGCTTTAGTGTGATTGAATTGTGGGGTTATTTTGCATAGCATAAATGAGAAAAATAACTGTATGAAGCAGAACGTCCGAACTAACCATCTGGGCCCGAAAACACTCTTGCCGGGTCGGCTCCGCTGCCCCAGTTTGGGATTGAGACAGAGGAAAAGAGGAATCGATTTTCGGAGGGACCGAAGGTAACGGAATAAGACGGCTTATCACGGACTGAGGGTCGGGTGAAACGGGAACAGTATGGGGGTCGAATAGACGCCGCTTAACACCGTCCCTTAGACTGCTGAATCCGGAGCTTACACCACCGCGCCGACGACCACGATTCATTCCTGAGAATGCTCAAGAGCTGAGAATTTTTGTATGGTGAATAACAGCTTGGAGCAGAGAAAGCACAATTTTTAGAAAAAATGTATTTACAGGCAAATTATAAAGCATATTCTGGACTTCATTAATCTGCTTCAGCAAGAGCAGCTGCTCTGGCAGCCTTGGCCTTGCGAAGTTCCTTCCTTCGCCGTTTCTTCTCCAGTCTCGATTGGTGGATGCGAATAAGATCTGACTCAGAATTGGCTAAATCACGTGCTAGTTTGGGATCCTTCAATTTAGCAAATCGAGTGTCTGCAGCTGCCTCCTCCATTTCTGTAAGTATTATCTGCTCTTTCTCCTGTTTAGAGGTATCGGTGACGGAAAGCTTCGAAGTGACCGGCGCTTTCTCCGGTGCCGACAAAACGCCTAGCTTGTCACGAATTTTGTTGAATAACGGGGTCGAAACAAAGTAGCCATGCATGTAGGCTCGGAGAAAACGTGTTCCAATGAGATCCAACATGCCATATTCAAGAAGTTGTTGTCTGGTAAGAAATTTATAACCGTCATACATGGTTGTCACATCAGGTTCACACTCGGTTACGAGCTGATCTAAGTAGCTGCACCAGTATGGGGCTGATCCCAAAAGTGGAATGAAATATTTGGAGACCTTGGGTGACTCATTGGCGAGCATAATCAGTCCGCTAGAGGGAAAATGGTACATCCCATTTAGACCGATTGGTCCAGTTTCAAAGCCAACAAAAATTTTGCCTGTGTCAATGCTCCAAATTTTCAAACAGTGCGCTACCATGGCAATTACTTTATCATCCTGGAAGCTTACTGCTTTGACCGGGCGTCTATACTCTGTGTCCCTCGTGTGCCATGGATTTTTGTTTTGGCGTACATCATAGACGTGCACCACGCCTTCGGATGTGCCAACAGAGAAATTTAGTGCGTCTTTGGGACTGAGAGAGGAGCACGCCACGCGTGAAAATTTTGTAAGGTCGGTGGGCCTCGTTGAAGCAGAACACACATCCAATCCGAAAACTCTTTCGCTGCTCCTCAGATCCCACCCCTCGATTTTTCCATCGGTGGAGCCGGCTAACAGGACATCCAGTTCGCGCATGAAGCAGCTGGTATTAAAGCCCTCCGACACGCTCACAGCCGACGATACCAATGGCGTCGCAAACCTGCCTTCATTTAAGTCCATTCGATAAACGACATTGCTGGAAGAAGTCACAAGAAGATGACAGTTGGAAGGAATGTAGGATATTTCTACACCAGGTTTCGGAACTCTGAAACGAAAATGATGTCCACCAGCAGCATGAATGTCAATCCACCGTTCCTCTTCCAGTAAAGCGAATTTCGAATAATCGTCACTTAAGCACACCATGCGCGTTGGAAGATAATCCACACAACGATCAAATTTCAATGACAAGTTCTTCAGTTCAAAGCATTTTACTCTTGGCTTGTATCGTCCAAGGACGAATAGATGTTGCTGGTCTGGAGAACAAGTAATAAAAGTAGATGCATCGGGCATTTCAAGCTCGTGAATTAATTCTATATGAGTCGAAGCTCCTGGATCCTTCTTTAAAAGCTTTTTCTTTTCTGCTCTCGATGCCCATTCAGGCAACGACCTTTCAGACGTCAAATTGTACACTTTGACTCCATTAAGCTTGACTACATTCATCCTACCGCCCTCAAGACACGAGAAAGTTCATACACAGCACATTTTGATCATGGCGCCCTTCAGGATAAGTCAAACGAGCTGCCCAGACTGCGGTAATTTAAGGTATCATTCCGCTACCCAAATTTTGTGTCATATATCCGTAAAACAATATGTCCTACTAGGAACCCAAATTCATTCTGATGTCCTAATGAGTGATGTTTGTAAGGAAATTTGGCTTCTAAGCATGCACTTCCCCGTCCTATGACCAGGAAGGGAAACTGTCATAGTCCAGTTCGAGAAACCATTCATTTATTTATTTAAAGTGTTTAAAGTGTATCCACGCAATCTTTGGTATAAAAACTTGAAAAAATAATCGGTTGTCTTATAAGTAAGGCATAGCCGAGCTCTTAGAAGGCGCACGGCCTTGTTTATACCAGTATAATCCAATAATCGACGTTAAGATAAGTTAAAACAGTGATATTTTCATTGCCTACAGTTTGAGCACTGTCGACCATTATAAATAAGTGAAAACGTGCACAGGCCAATTTGGGTTGAACACAATGTTGACTTAAGTGGATAGTATAATTAAGAAGGCAGACGTAAGATAAAAATGTTGACCAAGAACGCAAATTCTTTGAATGAAATAACAGTGATATGTGATTTTGTTAAGTAGAAAAACAATTTTCCGGGTCATGGCTGCCCTGTTGATGCGACATTATAAGGTTCCGAAACGTTCCTCTTCAAATGGGAGTTCGTGAACTGAAACAGCCTGCGTGCACACCAAGTGGTTGTAGAAACAACCACAATATTTCTTTGCTGGCAGAAGAAAGCCCGGAAAGTGCTTAAACAGGGAGTTTCAACTGCAATTTTTAAAAGATCACATAAGATTAAAACGGGATAATGGTGTGAAAGACTGCGAGAATCACTACTGCAGGGGTCAACATATTTTGAGACGGTATAAGCACGTGATACCGACACTCTCATTACTTACTGCATGATGAATACATGCACTTTCACTCAAAATAGCCTGATGCAAGATAGGATCGAAACGCCAACTATTGCTGTCCCAGTCGTGCACGTTAGCCAGTCGGCCACCTCGCCACGGCGACCAGCCTTTTTACAAATTGCTATTAACGGTATTGAGGATGATGCAATTTGCAGCGGCTATGAGATTATGTCCATCAAGCTAACCTGACTCCAGGACGAGATCAGGCAGATAAAATTATGTGTTCCGAGGCAGTTTATATGCCGTAGATGTCAAAAAGCCCACCGAGCCAGTTACTAAAAGTAAAACGAAAGAAACTCAAGCAAAAAGCACACCAAAATTTTCGGTAGCTGTTATGGCAGCCAAAAAAACATGCAGTAATGCCGCAGAACAAAAAGAGTCGGTTTAGTAACAGAAAAAAGCCTGGGAATGTGCAAAACCGACGACAGGAAGAATTAAAGTACCAGACAACCGATTTCGTGAGATGCCTCGAAGGAACTCGAACTAGGGACTCCGATGACTGCCTCGTCCATTACAGTAAAGGCCGCGAATTGAAAACTGAACAAAGAGTCGCAAAACAAACCCGAAATTAGTTGACCCAATACGAGCGGTGGTACCGATGCCTTCACCGGAACTACCAATTAAGATACACAGGATTCTGTGCCGAGTACTTCATCGAAGTCAGACAAAACAGGAGAAGAACTAAGGTATAACCAAAAAACATCTGCTCCACCATCACCAGTGCGCATCATGAAAGCTGTACACCAGATAGTGGATGACAGCGTCGTAGGCACGACAAGTGTCATTCATATGAAAAAGTCTCATAATACAAAGACCGCGAGAAGCAGTGGCTAGTACTCCGATAGACAACTATTCTGAAGGCACTTAGATCTTCGAAGATCTTCTGAAGAACATGCTGGTACCCCTTGGCGGGATTGACAGCGCAATCAACCTAGTAAAGGGAATGTCGAACGCGATCGTAACGACTTCTCGGGCAAACCGCAAACCAACGTTCATGCACACCAATGCACAGAGTATTTTACCAAGCTCGAAGAAGTAAATGTACAGAGCTGTGAATTCTTTCTTGATATAATTTTGTAAACCAAAAGCTGATTGCCTGAACTTGTGGAAAACTGAGAGGTAAATATACCAGGGTAACAACTGTTTAGAAAAGACAGGATACGGCGTCAAGGAGGAGGCGCACAAAAGGCAGGACAGCGCTGATGAAGTGACATGTCTACATTCACTAGGTAAAAGTGGTCAGTCTGCACGGCTATGCGAGTACTCGCATTAACTCCTGTATTTCAACCTCGTGGACGGACTCTGAAATCAGCAACGGATTATTTGGCCGCATCT